TGTTGAAAGGATCAAGTTCATGGAGAACACCAAGAATAGTAAATGTGTATGCACTTTGAAGGCTTCCATATACATGAGGGAAACTGGCAGAAATAAAGGGGAAATAAACAAATACAAGGCATAGTTTGAAATTTAACAAGCTTCTCTCAGAATTTGATAAAATAGACCCAAAGAAGTGAAAATTAAAATATAAATGATTTGAAAAACATTGACCAACATGATCTAATTGACACTGAATACCACACCTAACAAATACACATGGGACATTTATTAGCCTAGACTATAGGTTGATTACTAAAATATATTTTAATAAATATTGAAGGCTTGAAGTCAGTTTATATCATCTGACCACAGTGGTATTTACTTAGAAAATGATAGATATTTGATAATAAGATAACTGAAAAAAAAATCCCTAAGTATTTGGAAATATATCAACATACCTCTAGATAAACCATGGAACAAAAAAATAAACATTAATTTTTTAAATGTCATAATTTATATAATACCAGAAATGATATCCTTTGCAAGTACTTAAACTTAGAATAAAAATTTAGGTGTTAACTTAGAAATGTGTTAGGGGCTACATAGCTTTTCAAAATCTTTTTAGAGGGTACTTGGGTGCCGAAGTGTGAAATCTACTGCTGGAGCTCATGGGAAATAGTTAATGAATAATTCTTGCCATCAGAGACCATAACAGTGAAGGGTGCAATGGGGAAAAGGGTGATGAGTACAATAGGGGTTGTGGGTCTTATATTTCTACCTCACTGCCAGGTTTGTGTCTTGAGAAGGTACAGGACCCTGGAGGTACAGGATTCCTGTGAAGCGCGCGTGCGCACACACACCCCCACACACACACTCTCCCCAGTAATTTTGGTGGGGAGGGGCCCTTGGCTTGTTTCCCAGAATAATGCAAGAATAGCAGAAATACTCCTCTTCTTCTAACAGTGTCTGGATGCAGTGGAAAGCTCATCTGCTCTGACAGGACTTTGTATCAGCAACAAGGGACAGCTCAGGGGATACCTGTATACTAATGGTTAAGTTCGAACAAAAAAACGATGTTGCCATGGATGCCAATATAGATAAATGACATCAAATATCAGTTGAATTATTCTGGTATAATCTGAGATAAAAGAGGGACAAATGCTCAAATATTTGAAAGAAATAGTTTTGTTCTCCTGGTAGAAAAATAATCGCATGTACTCACTGAGCTTTCACCATGTGTCAGGCCCTGTAAGAATTAGTTGAAGATAGCTGTTTTGTGGATTTATGTGTGCATAATCTGTGATATAACAAATACATACATATGCATACATAAAAACTTTACTGATTGTCCCAGGCTGATATGGCTTAGGTAGCACCTCCTCAGTATTTTGTTTCTCATAGCTGCTTTTCCTATTCATGAGTCAAGCTGACTCCCAACATCAACCACAGTTTACAACTGCCAAGTCACATCAACTCAAAAGAAGATACTCTGAAGGTCCCGCTTCTCTGACAAGCCATGATGTGGCAGAAAAAGGAAGATGATTATAACCTCCCGCATCCAACACACAAGCTCAAATCACTAACAGGAAAAATAAAACAAAAAGCTTCAACTCCTTTTTTCCTATATAGAATCATAGAAATAACATTCTGAAAAGACTAAGAAAATAGGAAATTCCTTTCATGTCATTGTACCTCCTCATGAGCCAAGATCACATGTATATTGAAAAATACCGGGTGCCTGGGTGGCTCAGTTGTTAAGCATCTGCCTTCGGCTCAGGTCATGATCCCAGGGTCCTGGGATCGAGTCCCGCATCGGGCTCCCTTCTCCGCGGGAAGCCTGCTTCTCCCTCTCCCACTCCCCCACTTGTGTCCCCTCTCTCGCTGTCTCTGTCTCTGTCAAATAAATAAATAAAATCTTTAAAAAAAAAAAAGAAAAAAGAAAAATACCCAGAGGAACAACAGGAGTGACTTTTATTTTCATAATAATTTTATCATATATCCATTCTGCCATGCAGAAATCATTATGGTTTTTGGTCTCATAAAATGTTTGAATGACATTTTTATATAAATAATTCAGAGAAACTCTTAAGGAATAGACTTTGTCCTACTTTTATTCTTGTGGAACACAGAGGTAACCTTGCATAGAATAAATGGTTTTAATGTGTTTGTCACAATGCCATTCTTTAAGTAACACTCAAGCATGGCAACATAATAGCCCTGAGAAATACACAATTCAAACTGTGTGGGAAGTATTATTTTATGAGGCGAGGAGACAAATACACTAGTCACTATAGTGAGGATGGCATTTTCTTGTCTTGAAGCTAGTTCTTCCAATTCTCAATACCTATGCACTATGAAAGTAATATTGTTATGAAACTATAAAAATTAAAATCTATATATCAGAAGCCCCTTAGGAAAAACAATTTATTGACAATGAAGTTCACTGAGTGGCACATACACAGATTTTATAGCAATTGATTTTGATTTTGCAGTAAGGCTTGTATTCTTGTGCAAAAGGTGACTGGATAAAATGATCATGGGATAAACTCTTAAGGAAAAAAATAAAAATTCAGTCTTCCATAGGTTTGTCATCACGCATAAAACTCAATGAAATTCTCACTGCTTCTGGGTAAGTAAACATTTTCACTTAGTCTGATTATTTCCTTGTCTAGATTTAAGGTTTTTACTGGCTTTACCACACTGGAAAATAAAACTGCAATGTCTCTCTTGACTTGAGCTACAAGAATAGATATAGGAAACCATTATCTTTTTTTTTTTTAGTAGAAGCACATTTTTTAACTTTTATTTGATTGTCAATAATCTGATGTGGAAGTGATTGCATCATGCTTCATTTCCATGGACTCTGCATTACCTTAGTCTTCAGAATGTGGTTTATAGAAAATATCCCTCTGAAGTTTCATTTCCACTCCAGTTACAGGACCAGTTTTAAAGTAGATAGAAAAATGCCCCAAGGATTTCACAGTCTCCTGAGATTAGGGCAGCCATCATGGTATCTCCGGTCCTCAGTGTAGAGAAGGAGATCCATAAATGTTAATAAATAGAAAAATATGTATACAGTTTTTATTTCCCCACTTGTCATGACAGCATATCAGCAAATCATTCTCATACCCTATCATAATATAATAACACCAGTGGCTTAGTTGTATTATTTTCCATGCTTTGCAACACTTGTTCCCTTCAAATAATTCATTAATCTCCCCAACATCCTGGAAAAGCCTCTACTGTGTAGGTGAACTGGGAGCAGTATTACAGAGTTACCATGAAATTTCTTGAGTCCCATATTCCTCTAAAATTTCTTCTTTGCTCTCCTTTTATAGTATAAAAGTCTCTGTCCCTCCTATGTATCTGTTGGATCAGCCTGTTTTGTTTCCTTTCCTTTAAATCTTTTTTTAAATTTTATTATGTTACATACATTACATCATTAGTTTTTGATGTAGTGTTCCATGATTCATTGTTTGCGTATAACACCCAGTGCTCCATGCAGAACGTGCCCTCTTTAATACCCATCACCAGGCTAACTCATCCTCCTACCCCCCTCCCCTCTGGAACCCTCAGTTTGTTTCTCAGAGTCTATAGTCTCTCATGGTTCGTCTCCCCCTCTGATTTCCCCCCCTTCATTTTTCCCTTCCTACTATCTTCTTTTTTTTTTAACATATAACGTATTATTTGTTTCAGAGGTACAGGTCTGTGATTCAACAGTCTTACAGTCTTACACAATTCACAGCGCTCGCCATAGCACAGTATCTTTTTCTTAAATTTTTTTTTCCCTTAGGTAGGAGGCATAAAATCTCAAACATTAAAATGATAAGAAATATATTAAAATTATTTTAAGTTAAAGTTAAGATGAAATATAAGCAAGAGAGATACTGAAAAATAATGGGGCAATTAGGGAGTAGTGCTGAATCATCAGGTTGGAAGATTCGTTGAGATAACTTTTAATATATTTTTTTGTTCATGTTTTCTCCACTCACATTATTACAGACTTAAAGCCCAGAAATAGAAGAAATCTCTAATATTTCTGTCTTTCATATGTGTTAGCAGAATTATGAATTAACTTGTGGCTTCCTTCCCCTCAATTTTATAAAAGCTGATTTTACCTGGTAAGGTGTTAAGTGATCCACTGACTGAAGGCTCCCCAACCTGGGTCACTGGCATTTAACTTGACAAAGAACACAACAGAAAGATTCCTTCCCGTTCTAGCAGGGTGTCACTTTCTGAATAAGGAAACTATTCAGACATTTATTGAATAGTTATTATATCACATATTCTGTTCTAATACTCTGCTGGTATGAACTTGGGCAGACAACTAAGGCAAAGAGAAATTCAATAACTTTTCCAAGACCATAAACTTGGATTCAAATCCAGGTAGTCTGGCTCCAAAGCCCAAGCACTCCTAAACTATACATTTTCCCCCCCACTGTTAGACACAATGCAGTGTGAATAACTACTGATGGATGTGAATGGATGTACAGTGCCTCTTTTTTTTTTTTTTAAAGATTTTTTATTTATTTATTTGAGAGAGAGAGAATGAGAGACAGAGAGCATGAGGGGGAGGAGGGTCAGAGGGAGAAGCAGACTCCCTGCCGAGCAGGGAGCCCGATGCGGGACTCGATCCCGGGACTCCAGGATCATGACCTGAGCCGAAGGCAGTCGCTTAACCAACGGAGCCACCCAGGCGCCCCTGTACAGTGCCTCTTAAAGAGAAAACAAATATGAATTTGCTTGCATATATGTAAAATATCACAGAAATACACATAGAAATTGACAATATTGGATGTTTCTGGGGTTGGGACTTGAATAAACGAGGGATAATGGTACAAGGAGAGTTTTCCATGTATATTCTTCCAGAAGTTTTGAATTTAGAAATATCTAGATGCATTATTTTTACAAAAATGGATAAATAACTAAAACTTAAAAAAATTATAAGATTCAGTAGGTTCTATCATGTCAACAAGCAATTATATATCCAACATTAAAAAGAAAAGTTGAAGACATTCTTGGGGAATTCAACATGTTTTATTTTGCCAGGCAAATGATTTCTTCAATATCCAATTAAATATCAATGTACTAACTACATTTAGTTTATTTTCTCACAGAGTGAACATTCACCGTAATGACAGTTTCATCATGCTAAAATCTATCCACAAACCTACACTTTGAAAAAAAGTGCATTCCTAGGAAATTTTATGTACAATACAAATGGAAAACATATTAAGTCATCAAAATGTCAAACTACACAAAATAAAACTAGTTAACCACCAATATTCAGTATACGTTGACATTATTTTGGAGAAAGAAAATTTTCTTTACATTTGGCAGTTATGTTGAAGAATTTCTATAATTTTAAAACAAAAGTAATAAAAGTATATACAATTGAATAATGTTCAAAGGAGAAGGTATTAAATAGCACAAATAATATTAAAAAACTAAATACCCTCATTGTCTATCAGTTTGTGTTTACATGAAGCAAGGGGACCTGTGTAGTTTACCCTATCTTCTGACTCTAAAACAATTTTACTTTAAACTCTGTACATAGAATAGATTGGCCATAAACACTGAAGATGGTTTTGGCCTTCCATTGACACACATTTCTATTTATGCACATAGCAGGCAAAATATTTGTATAATGAACTGCTTTACAGAATACTTCAGAATCATACACATTTGGAAGAATAGCTTTTATTTATTAGCTTATTTTTGAATGAACATTATTTATGTTGTGTATTTTAACTGCTATGTTTGCCCCCACTGAGGCCTCCTCTTATAATATCATAATTTACCACCTCTTAAATAATAAATCATATTCTCAAATTCTGATCAATGATTGCATTCATTTTGATAATGGTTTAGTTCTTGAAGCTTTTATTCTGTGGTGCTTAAGAAAGTAATAAGTCTACCTTACCTTCTTTGTGGACTGTTAACTCCAAATAAAATTTTGTACTAGATTTTGAATAGGTCTATGATGCAATTTCTATTTGTACCTGGAAACATGAAAATTTCTTTACAAGTAAATAAAATGAAAAGGCAAATTTGTGTTTTTAAAGGAAATATAACAGGATAAAGAGATTTTTCATATTTCTCCCATCTAATTGTTATTTGGAATAAAAGGTTCAATAATAAATTTTTCTAATGAAATGACCCAAACATACAGTTAGAAGAAAATTATTTTATTCATTACAAAACTTACCACATTTGTATTTATATACCAGGGAACCTAATGCACCAGCATTCTTTTAAAAGAAAGTATGTCTATTTTTGTTCATATTCAAATTTTTTTCATTTGTTCACAAAATGAGCACTTCTCCAGCACATACTAAAGATTATTTTAAAAAAATGAACTGGTGACTTAAAAATCGTATGATATCTGAGGTTGGTAAACCAAAAAAATGTGAGAATTAATTATTGAAATTAATCACTGATGGTAAAAACTAGTCACATTTTTTATAAACAGCTTTTAATAAAATTGTATTTCTTACTTTATTTTTCCCCATTTTGATAGTTTCACCTCTCATATACAAATTTGATATTTCATTTTTTCTTCATATAGTGTTTACTTTGCCACACAGACTAGAAAATTAGAATACAGTAATTAATTAAACAGTGTAAGATTATATTCTCTGAGTCTATAATAACTTAAATAACTTCCAAAAAAAGTGCTTTTGTTTGGAAGATGATAGCATAAGAATATAAACTTAAATGTTTCACTGACATAACTCTAATCAAAGATGTTTATGGTGAGGATCATTCATTTTATCTTCCTAAAACAAGGAAACAAAGATCAATAGCAGATATCAGCAACTGACCGTTTTTACAATAAAAAAATTAATATATTTCACTGTAAGTATATAAACTGTTCATTTTTCTGTATGAATCACTCATGTTTTATACAACTTTTAGATGCCCTCTTCCTTGACTTGTATCTATTCTACATTTCTTTTGACAGCCCTACTCTATTACATGTATTTATACAACTTTTACAATGTAAAAGTTGTGAACTTGGCATTTGTTTCCATATATAAAATTACTGGCAATTCCAAATCTAAACCCGTAAAGCAAGGAAGGAAGATCACGGGGTTATAGCCCTCATTCAATTAAGGGATGTAAGAATTTTAGTTTCATAGCCGCCATACTGATTTTGAAGGAAAAGTAAATAAAGATATAAATAAAATCTGGGTTAAGTTAAATATTTATATGCACCATGAGGACCATGACATGTCTAGTGCTAGTCAATATCATACAAGAAAATGCATGCTCATTTCAGTTCATGTAATACTCACTTGAGGAGTGAGTAACACCTTTCTCAGGAATTTCCCATGGGTAAAGCACAAGGTTCTTTGCTCAGAATTTGATCATTGAAGACAGACTATTCTTTACTGGAAGCATAAGCCCCAAGTAAGAGAATATTATGACTCTGGCAACTGATTCCTCCTGTTTCTACTTTTCCGGCTATTGATGAGAGCTTTTAACTTGCCATAGTCCCCTCTTATCTTCTGAGATTCTTCTTGTTGATGTTGCTGCCGAGTGTCTTTGCAGTACTGATTAATCATCTGCATTTCTGAGTGGCTGAATGCCCCCATGATGTCCTTTGGGTGGAAGGGTAAAGCCCTCACAGAGCTGGCCCAGGTCCATGGGGACCATTTGTCTGTCACAACAGCCACCATTTCAGAATCTAAAACTTTAAAGTTGATCTTGGCTATGGTCTGCTTGAAGCTGTTCTCTGTTGCAATGCAGTGATACAGTCCTTGGTCAGAATCTTGAACAGAGCGGATTAGAAGTCCTTGTGAAGTGGCTATGATTCGTTCATTCAGCTTGACCTAAAAGAGAGAATCATCAAAGATCCCAAACCTGACTCTGTGTCTTCTAAAAAGATATGAGCAACATATACAGAGTATCTCTGGACTTGCAAATTTGGCGAAAGCATCAGGTACTGATTACCTTCCTTCTTAGTGAACACAAAGTTTTGGTCAGTTCCATTGCCTGTTTGACACAGGAGATCTTGTCTCACGAGCAAGGAATCTATTAAAGAGAGGGTGAAGTTATCACCCATATTGCCAAAAATAGCTTCAAGTTCATTCCCTTTGGACAGAAGTAGCTTTTGTACATATAAGCACAGAGTTTTGGTTGCATTTGGAGTGTGAATCACAGTCAACAGATAAAAATAAAATTCATAGAATAATTTAAAATATCTTTTTGTCCTGGCGTTCTTGCCTTTAATTGCAACAAAAATACTCTCTTATTAGTAAAATCATGAAGCCACAGTTAAATGGTTGAATTTTACCATTTTTCAATGATGAGTGTTCTCCTAACTAAAAATGGAAACACTTCATTACTTTACTGAGTAGTAAGACAACTCAAAAAAAATGATATAAACAGAGGCAGAGTTTTGAACACTATCAAGGGCTTTTTCCAATTATCCCAAACTAAAGAATGACTAAAAATAAGCTGAAATGCCATCATCTTCTGCGTCTTCCAAATGGTTTTACTTTCCAAGGAAAGGTAATAAAAAGCTATGAAGTTAATATTTAATTACTTTACAGGCTTATCCTGAAAAAAACTCTCATGTGCTGGATATTAGTTAAATGCATGAAATTCATCTTTCTTAAAGTTCCAGCTATAGTATTGTCAACAAACAGACTAAAAAGCTAAGTGGTAAGAAGTTCCTTGACATGGGGACTCTGGAATGCTCTTTCACTGAGGGGGGCAGAAATTGACCCAAATCAAAATAAAGAAATGTATGTAAAATGTTTTTCTAAATGGTAAATTTCTGCATAAGTACATATCTAATTACTGATGAAATAAAAATCAAAGATAGATTGTTTTAGATAAAAAGTAGCCCCCCCCCCCCGCAAAAAGCACAAAAAGGCAAAGTATAGTATTGAAATACAGATAAGAGAACAGATCTAGAAAAGGGAGATCAGGAAGTAGGACTGAAATATATAAAGCAAAGTTTAGATGTTAATTTAATTTTTAAAGTTTAAATGTGTCTCAAAAATAGTTTCAATCACGTAGAAGTGTACTCAGAAACAAAAGGAAAAGAAAGCCTTTTCTATGTGTGCAAAATTAGGAAAAAATTTGGAGGTCAATTTTATAAATTCACATAACATGCATATAGTATTTGATGCAGAAATTTCATTTCTAGGAATTTTTTTTAAAGATTTTATTTATTTATTTGACACAGACACAGTGAGAGAGGGAACACAAGCAGGGGGAGTGGGAGAGGGAGAAGCAGTCTTCCCGCTGAGCAAGGAGCCCGATGCGGGGCTCAATCCCAGGACCCTGGAATCATGACCTGAGCTGAAGGTAGATGCCTAACTGACTGAGCCACCCAGGTGCCTCATCATTTCTAGGAATTTGTACAGAAGATATACTCACAAGTGTGCAAATATTAATTTATATGATGTTTTTGATAAGAAGCAAAACAATAACCTTAAGCAATAGATAGCTTTAAAAAATATATATATATTTGTATAGTGGAATACTGTAGCCAAGAAAAAATAAGTTAGCTCCAAGTGTACTGATATTAAAGTGTGTGTGTGTACATTACCGAGAGAGACAGAGAGAGAGAGAGAAAGACAAAAATAGGAAAATGATGGGGAACATTTGGAAGAATACATTATGATTTAATATATAATTCTTAGTAGCTTCATACTCCACGAAGTATGAATAAAGATTGAAGTGGAGGTGAGGAGATCTTTTAGTTTTCACTTTATGCTATTCAGTATCAACTATTTACATTTTCATCCATGAGCTTTTATCATTTGTCTTACATTTTTTTTTTAAAGTTCAATATTTATATATCATTAACATGAGAAATAAGTGTGTGTTTGCCTAAACTATTAAGGACGAATTAGGATAAATTTAATAAGACAGTAATAATTTGTTCAACTAAATTAAGAATGAATGGAATTACACTCTATAAATTTTGGATAAAATAGATTTGCACAATTATAGTTAATTTTTTCATAGTCTTATAGCATTCTTATGTTTTTGAGATTAGAAGAAAAAGCAAGATAGTAATAATTGAGTGTACATTCTTGAGCATTCTGAAATAAAATGTTAGAAATACCACAAAGATGATTCAGTCATTAAATCTATTAACTCATTCCATTTTTAACTCCATTTATTAATTTCTGTGGCATGTATTCAAGCTTGCATGTACTCATTTTCTTTAAATAATAGAAATTTTATTCACTTATTGTATGTTATTGTATTTAACTTTTTACTGAATTAAAGAAAAACATTTTATTTATACTAGGTAATCTCTGCTTGAGTTTCAAATTTCCAATTCACATATGAACACACACAACTTCTCAGAAGGACTGTTCATGACCATGTGCCATGCTCTGGTCTAAGAACTTCATTTCTGTATGATAATCATCATAACACAGTATGACTTCTACTCCAGGTTACTTTTTTACTTTTTTTTTTTTTTAAGATTTTTTATTTAATTGACAGAGGCACACACAGCGAGAGAAGGAACACAAGCAGGGGGAGTGGGAGAGGGAGAAGCAGACTCCCCGCTGAGCAGGGAGCCCGATGCGGGACTCGATCCAGGGACTCCAGGATCACGACCTGAGCCGAAGGCAGCCGCTTAACCGCCTGAGCCACCCAGGCGCCCCTCCAGGTTACTTTCTAAGGCAATTAGTATTACCATTTACATCCATTCAAAAGAATTTAAAATTAATTAGACTGTAGAAATTTCAAGGTGTCTTTGATGACAGACTTTTGTGGCAAAGAAAAGAGGTCTCAAATAAACAATAGTTTTTTATTAATAAAAATGTTTTAAAAGATCTGTTTAGTATCATAGAATTCTGGGGCAAGAAGGAGCCCCAAAGTTCATCTAGCTCCTCTCTCCTCCAGATAGTTAAATCTCTTATGCGAGCGGTCATCAGCCTATGGTTTACTATTCCAGTGACAGGGGATACACAATTTCCTAAACAGCTCATACTGTCTTTGGACAGGCAGGTCTGAGTTGTAAAGTATTTTCTCATGTGGAGCCAACATGTATTTCAGTAGCTTTGATGCAAGTGTCTGTGTTCTATAGCTTGGGGTTGTATCCATTCTAAATATCTCCAATTAACTTAATATTTGGTACCCAAACTGCCCATGACAGAAGGATACACCCAAATGCAAAAGGCTCCATTTTCCCCTTTGCTCCATCAGATTTTATGACACTGCTAATAGCATTACATTTTAGACTACCCTAAGGCTTTATGTACACATACATATTTTTCTTCTTCTTCCTCTCATCTGTCAGTACAATATGACATCAATATTATTGGAGCTCATTATTTATAATATTTCACCCTAAGCCATTTTACAATGCTTCCCTTTTCAAACAGCTCTTTCCGATCAGTGAAAGGTTGTCAGTGTACTTTTCTTTGAAAAACTGTTTTTCCATATCACTAAATAAAGGCAATGGTCCCATAAACAATGATTCCATATATTACCGAACCAAAACCCTAGAGTCATGGATAATAAAGCAAAGGAAACAGACTACCACATAGCAGAAAAATGCTCCTTACCATAAAAGTTATAGTTTAGCGTAATTTCTGGCTGAGGAAACACTGAACTTTTTTTAAAGCCCCCTTTTAGCTCGTGAATCACACAAAGGTGCTGCTGTGTGAGAACCTGGCCTCTGGTTTTGCACACATCTTGTTTCTTTTACGAATGCTTCCTCATATCAGTACCCTGTCTTGAGTGCTCAAGCTCTTGTTCCAATCACCGTATCATAGAAGGGAACAGGCAGCAAGGATTTCTAATTAATTCATCATCTCTACAGACAAAGGATTTTAAAGAAAGTGGCACTTGTCATCCCAAAGACATAAAAGGATGTTCATATGCCTTTTCTTTCTCATATGATCTGAACCTCACTGAGGGATGGTGATCGAGTGTCTTTCCAAAGCCCTGATTGATTGCTGCTGGGGTGTGCTACTCACCTCTTTCCTCCTGTCTTTGTCTTTCTGTAACAGCCACTTGATAGATGCCTGTGGAGACTTCGGGGCACACTCAAGGAAAGTGGTGTTATTTTTTACTCCATACTGAACAATTTCAGCTGCATTTCTATATGCTGAAAAGCAAAAGTAAGAGAGAGAAGAGAATTTAGAACATATTCTCCTATATGAATGTTTATTGCTCTATAAAACTGTCATCATCTATAGAAGCCCGCAAAAGGCAATCTTTAATCATTTAACAAGCAGACTATTAGACATTGTTTACCTGTTGTGCTTAACCTAAAGGGAAGGAGAGAAAGGCATAAGGGAATCAGTGTTTATTCAAGAAGTACTCTATACCAAGGAATGTCCTTAATATCACTTTGAACATTTATTTAATTATTACAATATCCTTACAAATTAGGTTTTCTCAGCTTTTCAGAGCTGAGCAAGCCAATGCTGTGAATTACTAGGAAACATATCCTACTTGAAGAGTTAGTAAGTGCCAGGCATTATTAAAGCCAGGTCCATCCATACTCGGTGGAGTATAGATAGAATTCAGAAGCATTAGGAAAAGTTAGAAAGCCAAGTGTGGATGCAGCAGGAAGTAGTGGTTGAGAACACAATCTCTGGAATCAGAGGTATTGGAGGTAAAATTCTGACTTCACCAATATGGACCATGCAACCTTCGACAACTTACTTGACCCTTCTGTGTCTCAGTTTTACTTGGCTTTAAAACATGGATTATATTTTCATATAGGTTCTGTACTGAGATTCTTAATTCAGGAAGACCATGTAGTATAATCATGTGGTAGCTTAGACAGGAACAGCCTCTTCATTCATAAAATGGCGATAATAATAGACCTTACTTTGGTACAGTGTCTTGAGCATTAAGTGTGATAATCCATTAAGAAAGCACTTAACTCAGGTTCTGACACAAAGCCAGCACGCATGTGAGTTCATCATTACCCCCGCTGGCAGTTCTACCCCTGTAGCTACTACTATTAGTAGAAATGGCACACATATTTATAAAATACTCAGTAAATAGAGAAATGGTGACCTGGATTTATTCCCTCAATTAGATGTACGGAACCACTAAGCAAAATGTGTCACAATTTTCTCTTATAGTTCATGGAGTTAGTAATACGAATGTCAGTCTTTACTAAAGAAAGGCCCAGACTCAAAAATACTAGCAATAGGAGTCTTGGTGTTAATTGTTAGCAACTAGTGGGTCTCTAGCACCAAGAGAGCTCCGCCTGAAGAGATGTCACTGGTGGGGTTCAGGTGGAGGGGAGAAGGTTAGTGGGGAAAGTATAATAACATGTGATCTTTATGTCAGGATGGGAAGAAATGGGTTAGATTGATTCTAAGACAGAGGCAGAATTCTCAGAAGTATTGGAATGGTTATGAATTGTAAAGCCAAGGCACTGGTACACCCATGTTCAGAGCAGGATTAATTATAATAGCCCAAAGTGGAAGCAATCCAAGTGTCCAGTGATAGATGAATAAACAAAATGTGATATAAACACACAATAAAATTTTTTCCATTTTCAATAGAGAAGAAATCCTGACACATGTTACAACGTGAATGAACCCCGAAGAAGTGCAATAAGCAGTTACAAAAGGATAAATATTGTGTATTTCCACTTATAAGAGGTATTTAGAAGAATCAAATTCATAAAGACAGAAAGTAGAATGGTGGTTTCCAGAAGCTGGTGAAGAGGGAGTTTGTATTTAATGGGTATAGTTTCACTTGGGAAAAATAAAAAGTTCTAGAGATGGATGTGGTGCTGGTTGCACAACAGTGTGAATGTACTTAATGCCACAGAACTATACATTTGAAAATGGTTAAAATGGTAAACTTTAAAAAAAAATTTTAAATTTTCAAAATTTTAAAAAAGCACCTTTTTTTCTTAACAAAGAAGACAATAACTTTGTTTCTTCAGAAAAAAAATAATAGCTTGGAAAATCTGTAACTGACATCTATGTGAAAGACCTAACCAACTAACACACCCAAGGTAACTGTGGTCACAGACATTTGTTTTTCCTACTATACATACAAATAACGTTCAATTTTTAATTTCCATATGAACACCAAGCATCTTCATAATCTCCCATTAAAACAGAAGATATGAGGGGCGCCTGGGTGGCTCAGTCATTAAGCGTCTGCCTTTAGTCCAGGTCATGATCCCAGGATCGAGCCCAGCATTGGGCTCCCTGCTCAGCGGGAAGCCTGCTTCTCCCTTTCCCACTCGCCCTGCTCGTGTTCCCTCTCTGTGTCAAATAAATAAATAAAATCTTGAAAAAAACAAAACAAAACAAAAAACAGAAGATATGAATTATAACGAGGTTTCCCTCCCTGAAGTGTGACATGGAGCAATGCAACTCTTTACCAAGTTTGACCCTTGCTCAGTTTTAATACCTTTTAGATTAAATCCTCTGCACTGAGTCAATGGATTTCCATGCCTCACGTCTTGTCTTCGGCTCCTCCTATAAGTGCAGAGACATACATAAAACTAATTTAGAATTAACATTGCCAATTACACCGCATTTTTAATTTCACAGTCTTTTAATTGCCTAAGCTTTCATAAGGAAAAGAGGTCTGATTATCTGACACAGCTATCTGACATTTCTTATTCACCACTTCCATGATAGGATGGGTACTTAACCTTGTTTTCATTCTGAATTAATTCCGTCCCTCCCTATCTACTACTGGTGATAGAATGGCTATGAAATCCTTATTATGTGCATTTCCTGGGTAAATGCTAGATTCCAAATGAATAGTGTAAATTTTAGTTTAGAGACATTTATCAAAAATTTTCCAAGATGAAAACCTCTAGAATATAAAATCACCAGCATCTTCTTTCTTATAATTTTGTTCTTAAATAAACATAGCTTTCTTACGAAAGTCAACATTTTCTAACACTTTCTTGATATATAAAAGCTTTTCTGAAACAGTTGATACATAGAAAATGGACATTTAATATAAAGTTAAGCAAAATTGTTCATTTACTAGAATAAGAATTTTCCTTCAACTTTTTACTTTGAAAAATGTCAAGCCTGGGGCGCCTGGGTGGCTCAGTCATTACGCGTCTGCCTTCGGCTCAGGTCATGATCCCAGGGTCCTGGGATCGAGCCCTGCACCGGGCTCCCTGCTCAGCAGGAAGCCTGCTTCTCCCTCTCCCACTCCCCCTGCTTGTGTTCCCTCTCTCGCTGTCTCTCTCTCTGTCAAATAAATAAATAAAATCTTTAAAAAAAAAAAAAAGAAAAATGTCAAGCCTACAGAAGAGTGGATATATGAGTACAATAAACACTGGTATACTTAGATTCATGAATTGTTGTATTTTGCCACATTTATTTTTTCTCTCACATGCAAGTTTTATGTTGTATATATACTTTATGCACATATATGAAAATCTTTAGAAAACAAGTTGCAGACATGATAATGCTTCATTCTTCAATACTTCAGCATGAATCTTCTAATTTCCCTACATAACAACAGTATCATTATCATACTGAATATATGAATATTTATTCCATAATATCATACAATACACATTTTGTGTTAAAATTTCCTTAACTGTCTCCAAAATATCCCTTATGGATTTTTTAAAGTTTGTTCAGGATCCAAAGTTCACTCAATGCATTTTAGTTATTATGTGTCATCAACTTACGCACTTCAAAATTAGGTACATTCTTTATAAGTTGGCCATTATTTAAATCAATGTTTTAAATTATTTCAATACTAATTAATTTCCAGAGTCTTGATCCTATGTATATATATATTAGTTTCAATTGTATCACATAGTGAAACAAATCAAAATAGAGCAACCGAAATTCTCTTAGCAATAAATCATGGATATGAAGATTGCTGTTAAGAGAGAAGAAAAAAAAGTGGGGCGCCTGGATGGCTCAGCTGGTTGAGGGTCTGACTCTTGGTTTCGGCTCAGGTCACGGTCTCCCAGTGGTGAGATCAATCCCTGTGGTGGGCTCCATGTACAGTGCAGAGTCTGCCTCAGAATCTCTCTCCCTCTGCCCCTCCCCCGACTCATGCATGCTCTCCTTCTCTCTAAATAAATAAATAAATAAATAAAGTCTTTAAAAAAAGAGAGAGAGAAGGAAATGATCCTCTCTTTAAATATTAGGAATGTAGGGATACATTGATTGTTTACTATCAAGGCTAGGAAGTACATATAAATGAGCATATTACTTAACTGGGTCAGCTGTTAAGTCTCAACATTTTTACCCTTAAAGATAAATTAAAACATTCAGTAAGAAGAGCAGAAATATTAAAATCTCACAGGGATTATCAAATTTACAAAGTGAAACTAATCTCAAAGTTATCAATAGTGAAAAAAAAATCATTTTAAGGTTACAGCAAATAGTAGTTTGTGTATTCGATGGATTATATAAATCTATGGGAATACAGGGATAAAATTTTGTGTCATTTTTGTATTCTTTTCCCAAAAAATGTCCCATTATCCTCATTCAATTTTACATTTCTTTTTTTTTTTAAGATTTTATTTATTTATTTGAAGGAGAGAGAGAGAAAGAAAGCATGCGCAAACAGTGGGGGGAGGGGCAGAGGGAGAGGGAGAAACAGACTTCCCGCTGAGCAGAGCCTGACTGTGGGGCTCAGTCCCAGGACCCCAGGATCATGACCTGAGCTGAAAGCAGACGCTTAACTGACTGAGACACCCAGGCGCCCCTCAATTTTATATTTCTAATACAACAACACACACACAAACTAGTGGGAAGTCACTCTTGGCTCAGGAAATACAATTAATGCTGTACTCTAGAATAGCTCCTATATCAGGTTTTTACTGCATTGCATTTGCTGTATATCCAAGCCAGTGTTATTTACTACCAATCAACTTGTGAGTGCACTATATTAAATGACCACCATGTGAGAGTTCTTATGGGTGAACTAGTCATTTTCAGTCATCTAGAGAAGCACTATCATTCACAATGGCTAAATTGATTGTCCTGTGACCAGCACTGTGTTATGGTTTGCATCGCTGGGCAACCTGAATTTACGGGATCACATAGCTTCCAGACATTCTGTACAGAAAAACATTATTATGGGTTGGCTTAAATGATGAGATCAGCAAGAGAGCTATCTGAGATTTTTTGTATTTGTAGATTCCCTTTAGGATATCCGTATAGCATTGCAAAAGCTGGTAGGCAGAGTAATATTATATTTGCATGTAGGTTTGGGATTTGAGCTCAAGTTACCAATGTTTTCTTCCTTAAGTATAATCCTTCAGATACACAATGAAATCATTTTTGTTCTTGTATATAAAACACATATTTACCTGAAGATTGAACTGATTATCTTGTCTTAGAATAAAATTTCTAAGCGCATGTCTGAATCCAGAATAAATAACATTTGAGACTAAATTGCAATATTTAGTACAAATATTTAAGATACTTGAGGATGAAAAGGAAAATTGCTTGTGTTATTTGCCATAAGCAAACTTTTAAAAAAGAGAAACTACTGAGCCAATGATATTTAACAACTTCATTATATCAAAGTATAAACTCCATTGATTTCCAAGTATCGCTGTAATTCTTATTCCATACAAAGGACACGTTTTTGGTTTTCATTCCTATGAATTCCTCCATGTAATCTTTGTGTTCCAGATAGGTAGACAGTACAACTGAAATAAAATAGGTAAGTTAACACTATTAAAGAAAATTAGTATGGAAAATACAAGTGATCATTTTTATTATTATTGTTTAATCACTTAAAAATATTATATATGAGAATTTAGGAAATAGTTAATTCAGCAAACATGCTTAGCATCCACTATATGTTTAAGTTTTAAAATAATTTGGAGAACTTACATGGTATAGATATTTGTAGTGAAACTTTCAATGTGCTAGCCAAAGATGGGTGTGAGTAGGCCAAGGAATAAGATAGATGATAGAAAGATAGATAGATGATAGATGACAGATGATAGATAGATAAAGATAGAGATTTCTCAGCTTTTTATGATAGAATTAAGACACTGCTAGAGATTCAGATAGCTCTTTAAATGATTACTATCTCCTCTTTCAACCATAATACTTTTTTTCCCCTGCTTATACTTTTTTTTTAACTTGAGAAAATATTGACATATAACATTATATTAGTTTCAGGTGTACATTCAATCATTATGTTGTATGCCTGAAACTAATATAATGTTATATGTAAATTATTTCTTAATTTTAAAAAAAATATATATACACATATATATAATTGATATATATATATATAGTGAAATGGCCACAATAAGTCTAGATAACATCTGTTCCCATAGTCACAAAATTTTTTTTCTTGTGATGAGTACTTTTAAGATGTACTCTATTATGGGGGGGGAGGAGCAAGATGGCGGAGGAGTAGGAGACCTAAATTTCATCTGGTCCTAGGAATTCAGCTAGGTACGGATCAAACCATTCTGAGCACCTACGAACTCAACAGGAGATCGAGGAAAAGAATAGCAGCAACTCTCTGAACAGAAAAGCAACCACTTTCTGGAAGGTAGGACGTGCACAGAAGTGAATCCCAGGCAATATTCGGGAAGATAGACGGCGGGGGAGGGGGCCTCCTTCGGCTGCTTCTGGCAAGTGATAGAGCCGCGGAGCACAAAATCGGAACTTTTAAAAGTCTGCTCCGCCGAGGGACGTCACTCTGGTGCCTAAGCGGGGGGTGGAACCCTCCGGGACAGTGTGGTCTCAGGACCCTCGGGGTCACAGAAAGACCGGGGGTGCCTGAGTGTGGCAGAGCTCCCAGGTATTGGAGCTGGGAAGCCGGCTGCAGAGGCGGAGCCCAGGCGCAGGCTCTCAGCTCAGGGTTGCCAAAAACCATGATCCGCGGCACAGTCGGGCCCCTGCTCCTCCAGCAGGGACCCAACAAGCGGCAGATCCGGGGATCCGGGGAGACTCCCCTTCCTCCCCTTCCTCCCCCTGCAGTGCGGGAGCGCACCGCAGGGATCTGTTGGGTTTGGGGACTCCAGACAGGGTCGTGTGCCAGAGATAGAAATGCTCAGTCACAGGCCGGTTGAGCACGGAGAGCGCTGGAAACCGGGTGACGGGAGTGACTGACTGCTTTTCTCTGGGGGCTCACTGAGGAGTGGGGCCCTGAGTTCTTGGCTCCTCTGGGGTGGAGATTGGGAGGCCGCCATTTTCACTCTCATCCTCCAAAGCTGGATGGAAAGCTTGCAGGGAACAAAAGCTCTCGAGAGCAAACCTGAGCAGATTACTTAGCCCGGACCGGCAAGGTCGGGGCAATTCCTCCTCCAGTAAAGACATTTGGGAACCATGGCAACAGGCCCCTCCCCCAGAAGATCAGCGAGAACAGCCAGCCAAGACCCCCAAGTTTACCCATCAATGAGAACGGCAGAACTCTAGCGCTAGGGGAATACTGCACATAGAATTCATGGCTTTTTCCCCATGATTCTTTAGTCTTTCAAAGTTAATTTTTTAAATTTTTTCATTTTTTTTTAAAT